AGGGCAGGGGTGGGCAAAAGGGCCTCCACTGGCTGGATATGGCCCACCAAGCAAGTTGATCTTGCCCGCAGGGGCTCTGTCCTCAGGGACTGGGAGCAGGGGGAAGCACAAGCAATGTCCTCCTGCCCTGCCCCCTCCCAGCAAGTAATGCGCTGCTCTTAGAAGCACTGTGCGCTCCTGGCAGGTTGGGAGGAGATTTTGTGTGCTCTCCCCACCCCCAAGCCCTGATTGGCCTGGGAGGCAGGGGAGAGCATGCAAAGTCTCCTCCTGCCCTGCAAGGGGCTCAGCAGTTAGTCAGCCGCTAGCTGCTGCTCAGCTGGTGGTTGACTCTAAGCGCAGTGCTCCCTTGCAGGGCAGGGGCAGGAAGCGTGAGACTTTGCTTGCTTCTCTACCCCCAGACCAATTAGGGTCTGTGGGTGGGGAAGCCCGGAAGTGTCCTGGCCCTGCCCTTCTGCCTGAGGCCTTGCCCCTTCCAGGGTGGCCTGGAGCTGCTTCAAAAATTTCTGAAGTAGCCCTCAGTCAAAAATTATTGCCCATCCCTGCTATCAGTTCATCAGATTGCACTCTTCTGCCATGAGGGTCTTAGGATCTTGATGCTGGCTCTAGGGATGTTAAATGGCATTTAATCAGCTAGTCAATGGAATTTCCATCAACTAGTCAATTAGTTAAGTGGGGGAAACTGCAGAGCCTCAGTGGGGTTAGCTCCCGATCCTAGGCTCTTAATATACTTTTAAAAGGCTGAAGTGCAGCAGGGGGGACTGGCTTGCACCCGGTTTCCCACTATGTCTGTGACTACCCTGTTCCCCATGGAGATGGTACTAGGAGGGAACCAGCTTTTAAGTCAGCTCCACCCCAGCACTGGCTTCTATCCCCCCACTCCTCCGCTGTCTCTCTCTCTGATAGAGATAGCAAAGGGAGGGGGGAGCAACTAGTTGAGTCACTAGTCAACTAGTTGCTTACATCTCTTGCTGGGGCCTTGTTTCTTTACTCCTTTTTTGTAATATGCTATTTGTTTGTTTGTTCTACATACCACACATATCGTATTTGCGCACACAGCAGTACAATGATTTCAAAAGCAAATTCCTAACAGGACAGAACAGTTCTATCAAGGCAGAACAGAACAATTCAATCTTCAGCATTACTGCATTAGTATAGAACATCATTATATAAACTTTCATTAAAACAGTTTCATTAAGTAAACTGATAATAAAATCACTTCATTCAGGACAAAGCAGTTTAATCTGAAAATCAATTTTTCCATACACGTGTTTAAAAAAAATTAAAAATCATAAATAAAATAAAGCTAGCATTGTTAGAATAGATCTGTAAATTATGTGAAGAGTGGAATCAATACAAGTGTACAAACAGTAATCTTTGGTACCTGACTCAGGAGCTGATCTGCATACAGAGTCGCTCAAAATTATATAGCTGTTGTTTGGAGGGAAGGGTGGGAAAGAGAGAGAAATGTTTACTGTTTTTCATTTTAATTTGAAATATAATGTTTAATCTTCTGTAATAAAGTGATGTATGAGTTGTCTAGCTTTGTCTTTTCAGTAGGATTTCTATATCACCTATCAGAACTGTGTAGTGTTTTGACTTCTAATCATACAAACCATATTCCCAACTGAGAAGTAACTTTTTGTTTTAAGATGTATTTTATTGGAAATGTGGTGTTCTGTAGCTTTTATTTTACTGTACATGCACAGTTAGCTTTGATGTCTCAGGAAATATAAATAACGTGGCAATCTTAGATTTTTTTTGCCCCTCAACATTTGAACAGAAATCTATTATGGGCATATTTGTGGGGGGCGAATCTGAGTGTTTGATACTTGATACAGAGAGAATTATTTAAATCTGTGGATTTGGGAGGCAATTTAAATTAGAAAAATTATGTTTTGTAAAATTTGATCATAGAAGTCTGTGTGTTTTATCATGTGCAGGTGAATCAGGATAATAGTAAATCTGATAGTTGAAATGGATCTCCCTGAAGTTCAGATAAATCATTGTGCTCAAGAAGCCATGTGGGGAGAGGGAGGAGGAGGGGAATCTAGAAACATGAGCCAGATTTAGCCACTAGGGTAACCGGGTGGTTTTAAAAAAATATCGGACACACTTGATCTCAGATGGGGGGGTGGGGACCGGCCGGGAGGGAAGCGGGGCTGGCTGCGGGGACTGGCTGGGAAAGGGCCTGGGAGAGCGGGGCTGGCCGAAGGAGATTGGGGCGGGGAGCCAGCCGACAGGAAGCAGGGCTGACCGGGAGGGGGTCGAGGAGAGCGGGGCTGGCCGGACGAGATCGGGGATAGGGGGG